TGGTGAAAAAATTAGTATGGCTTTTAATGAACAATATTTAGTAAATATTTATCAGCTATCCGGGTCCTGTAAAATGTCTCTCTTTTCATAATGGGAATTGAGTGTAATCCATTTTGTCAAGGTTTTAATACACTTTAATGAAAATATCCAGAATCCTAAGGATACTTTCTAGCTGCCAGTGAATGTCCTCGCTTTTAAGAAAACAGAAGAGAGAAAAGGGATGTAACTTACAGAAGATATATTCACTAAAATACATATACCAAAATACATATACTAGAAAGTATAGGCTATGCCCTCAGAATGTCAAAACATAGGTGTTTTACATTGAGACAAACTATACTGCCTAAATGATAAACTATAGTATTAACTTGAAAAACAAGCATTACACACATAGATCTTTTGCTTGGTTAATTATATCCTGCCCTCTGTACTCTTTGGGCTCCAAGCATGTTCCTATATCCAACTACCAATTCCGCTTCTTTACCTGGATGCCTAATGAACATATCAAACTTCACAGGTCCAAAAGAAATTTAATTTTCATTCTTTAAATCTCAGTTTTCTTCACCTTTGCCAATGGCTCACAGTTTACCTGTTTCAACCAAAAGCCTGAGACTCATTGATTCTATTACTTCACTGCCTAACCCTGAATTAACAAGTTTTGTTATTTTTCCTTCAAATAGATTCCAAATCAGTATAGTTTTTTTGTTTTTTGTTTTTTCCTTTTCAGTTTGCCTTCATCTTTTCCCAAATGCTCTGATGGGAATGAAATCCAAATTTTCCTCCATCGTATACTAAGCCCCACAAGATCTGGTCCGCGAGATCCGCCCATCCACCCTTTCCTTCTCTAAATATTCATGCGTGTCCTCTGTGGGCTTCTCCATTTTCACTTTGTTCTGTTGTGATGCAATCCCCCATGGGTGCAAAGCCCCCTTCGTGGCTGGATCCCACTCACCATACCAATTCCTCGTCTCATCGGTCACCATTTCAGACAAGCCTTCCCTGACCCCTCAACCTAATTAGCAATGCCCCACCCTCACCACCCACCACCCTACTTTTCCTCACCCTCTTTGTTTCTTCATAACACCTGTCATTGTCACTTTCCTTCATGGGTTGGCTGGTTTATGTTCTCCTTCCCCAAACTAGAGCGTGAGTTCCATGAGAAAAGGGGGCTTGTTGGTCTTATGTGCCCCCATATACCAAATCCTGCAACACTATTTGAATGAGTGACAGATAAGATCCTATCCCTAAATAGTGCTGTCGGCAGTTTTGGGCAGAGTTTATTTAAATATGATGAACTGTACAGGAATCCCCCAGAGGATCACAGATGTATAGCACACCACCATATTCCTTACCAACCGATATGAAATGTAGCACTAATGCTAAGAAAACAAAGAACTCGATCCAATCAGAGAGTGTATGAGGCTGATACTTCAATAATGCAGAAAACTTGGACGACTGGAACGTGGGGAGGGCTGCTTTCCTATTCTCCAGGGAAGAGAATCATTACTCCATCACTCCGTGACTAAGAAGAGCCAGTACCTTGGCTTATTTTTAAAGGGTAAGTGCTACTGCCAGAAGTTTGAGGCACATCCAATGTTTATGCCAAAGGAACTTTGGTAACTGGACTTTTGGGAAAAAGAGAAACAAGACAGGGTTGGGTGGCGGCCTGGGGGGAGGGGGAGGGGGGAGAGATGGATAAATGCTTCCAGCCAGGGAAGGCCAACCCTGGGGTGTTTTTATGCAACTACGAACAACCACATACAGCTTGGGTCAAAGCTCTATTTATTTCCCTCTCTTCTCCTCCTCAATTTGCCTTCAGGTCATTGCTTAAAGATTATTTCACAAACATTATCTTTTCTTCCAAGAACCTGTTAAGAATTAAAATACGATGTCACTAACTAAAAGCAAACAGGAATTCTGTTTTTAAGCACTCACCTCAGACCTTGAATTCTGCCAGCAGGTAAATCTCCTTTGGAATGTATTACTTATCCTTGGATGTAGATAGAACAAATATCTGGATGCATTTAGAGAATAAGTGGTTTTGCTCCTTTTTTTTAGTTAAGGATTTATATTAAACAAATGTCTATGGGGCTTCAAACCACGGTGTGGGACACATCCACTTTTAACTGAGGGCGTGGACCCGGTTACCTGTTAACTCTGGGCTGAGCCTGAAGCCACTGATCTGCCGCAGAGCAGATGTAGCCCCCTGCCTGCAGGAGCAGTTCACTGAAAGCAATACATATTGGACCGAAAAAAAGCAAGACCTCCTTGAAGGGGTCAGATGTCTTAACAGAATGACTTTCTTCTTTCCCTAATCTTTAATGCCAAGAACTGCTTGTTCTTGTTCTGTGTGAAATCAAAAAAGGGATTAAGTAATACAATGCATCTCTGCAAAAAAAAAAAAAAATCACTTTTTCCTTTAGCAGAGCTATTCTTTTATTTCCCCTCTCTCCGCCTCCACTTGCCTTCAGGTAAATGCCTAGAGATTATTTCACAAACATTATCTTTTCTTCAAAGAACTTTAGTTAAGAATTAAAATATTTAATTAACTAAAAGAAAAATCAGGTATTCTACTTTAATTCTCAGTTCTCTCAAATTCTCTGTGGCTATAGCATTTTTCCCAAATTAGTGCATTCCAAATTCAGAGCGGTGAAAAGGATTTATCTTTTTTATAAAAAAATTCAGACAAAAACACTTTGAAAAAAGATTTGTAGTGAACATCATAAACTATAAATAAATACCTTTATTAGAGGAAATGGTAGCTCAAACAGATAAAACATTATGTGCTAACGACATAAATGAGTAAAAGACTCAGAAAAGACATTTTAAAGAGAAATCTAGATAATTTTCTAATTATCCGACCTTGCTAATAATCTGAACAAAGAATTTAAAAATGTTTGTTTCTAGTCTATAAAATTATAAATAAAATTAAATGATTGTTTCCCCATTTAAAAAAAAAACACACAAGAAAAACCCCCCAAGACATCCCTTGTTCAAACAAAATATTATTAAAAAGCCCTAGCAAATTGGGTTTCATCCACCATATTTGAAAGGGTGGACCATGAAGACTGTCCTATTTTTTCCCTGTTCACTACCCTTCAGGGACTTTTGAGGAACTTTGAAGGAGGTTCTAGTTCTTCATGAAGCATAACTGGAAAACCACTCTTTTTAATATAATGCAGTCCAATAAGAGACCATACGCACAATGGGTATACTCTCACAACATCAATGAGATTCTAAATCACATCAGCCATTTTTAACAGCAATTTGGAAATATGCCATAAAAATCACCAAGGTATTCACGTCCTTTGACTACCTTCACTTCTGAGCCCCCCTACTGGCTACATTGCATAAAGATATTAATTGCCGCATCATTTAACACAGTAAAACATTAGGAAGAAAAATGCATGTGTTCAGCTGTTCAGTACATACTGACTGAGCAAATGACCTTGCAAAAGCTCATGTTGCTATTGAAGGATGGAGAAAAAAGAATGGCTGGGGGTGCAGTTTAGAAGGTCTGTGAAGTGGTTCATTATGTAGTGCCTAATCTGTCCTTACTGAAGGAGGTTTCTATCTTCACGGAGGACATTGATTCCCCAAATTATCCTTGTCCAGATATCACATTACCAAAGACCACAATGAAAACTAGAAAATGGGGCAGGTTGCAGCATTATCACTAATTGTTCTACAAGGACTCTTCAGATAAGAAGAGTCACAACTTTAACATTGGCAAAGTCTCCCTGGAGAAAATAAAGGTCAAAAAGTCTAAAACATTACTCTGGGACTCCCCGTCTTAGCGATGGATCTAGGGAATCTATAGCGATTTGAGGCACCCCTGACCAAGAAAAGAACAAGGCCACAAAAGGGGTGGGTCAGGAGCTAGACAGGAGGTCTCTACGTGGTAAACCTCAAGCTTAAAGTGCATAAAAGCATCTGTAAATAAGATTATCCAGTTTCACATTCTTCTTGTGTTTTTCTTCCCTGTGTAACCCCATATTTTCAACAAAGTCTAATTTAAATGCTTCCAGCCTAGTCTCAGCTATGCTGTGGGCAAAGGAAGGATTTTGTGTCCATATTTTAGCCAGCCAGAGAAGATATCCCAGCCCACCACCCATGCCTCAAGCTGGCAAGCTGATGGCAAAGGTGATGAGTGAGGAATGAGGAAAGGGGTTTATCAAAGTCCAAGGGCAGGCCATCAGCTTCTGTTGCCTGCCCTGCACAGGGAGGCATTCCCAATCACCATTATTCGTGGGGTGGTGTGGATTTGATGACAGAAGGTCACTTCTTCGTAGCCTCAAGAATGTTTAAAAAAATCAGTTAAAAAATAAGCATCTCAAAATACAAATGAGACCAGGAAAAGAATGTCTGACGGCAAAAACGCAAACAAATGAATAAAGACAGACTTCAGGCTCTTTCAATTCTCTCTGCTTGTCTATTTTCAGAAAGGGACAATTTATCAGTTGTTTGTGGGAATGATGGTTTTAGGTGGGGAGACAGGAACACATGAAAGCAAAATTTCTTTTTAACTTTAAGTCAAAGCCAAACAAACAGATAGACTAATGTAATCACTTATTCAAAAGGAAAGACATAACAAAGTATAATCAACATCATTAGTTTTGTTTTGTTTTTTAAAGAACAGCATTTTGAAAGACTATCTAATTCAACCTTGCAGTTGTACAGAGCACGCATCTAATTTCATAATTGGATGTGTGCTACATTTGCAGAAATTTTAATCTGTCTAAACATAAAGTGGACTGGATCACAAGTGTCTTCTATCCTGCCACAATGTAAAGCACTTTAGTACAATCCTGCATAGCTCTCCTTTTATTTCCTCTGACTTGTTTTATACTCATTTTTTCTAGGGGTACTGCCTACATCTCTGTAAATCAGTCAAACTATGTTCTGAAAGCAGGTAGAGCACACACAAATAAAAATTATTTTTCTCTCCATACTTTTTTCTTTCTGAAATTACTTTTCCTTCTGAAAATGATTTCTCTTACCTTCGGTTGTTTGCAAAGATAGCGACAAAGTTCTCCGATATACTGAAACACAGTCACATTATACTTTCTGCAGTCATTCCAAAACTGACTTGCTGAGAATTTCTTCTTTAACACACAAGTAGCTCCTATGAGAAAAGGCAAAGAACAGGTGCTGGGGAAAAATATTCAAGGGCAGAACTGACCTAAAACACAAAGGATGTTGCCCTGCCTAGAACACTTGCACTCCATTTCAAGGCTTTTCTAATCCAACAGTGGACATTTATTTCAAGCTCATTTGAAACCATTAATCTTACAATTGAATAAACTTTTAAAAAAATTCATGTTGTAGTTCTATATTTTGACTGTAAATATATTTTTTTTTTCTTTTTGAAATACAGGGGATGAAAGAAGAGGTCAAAATAAGTAGGGGAGTTGCAAGTATTAGAGCATGACTATAGGAAAGGGTCAGCCTTCTTCACAGAGACCAAGAATATTCACTTACTTTTGTTCTTGAATATGTACATTTTATTTATTTTCAAAACCTTAAAGCTGCCTCAATATTTCTTGATGCTGAGAGTTGGTAAGGCAGAATTGGGAAGATAGCACCAGCCAAGTTCATCAATGACTACGGACCCAAAATGTAACAACCTAATTTTCACAAGAATGTAAGTCATATGAATATGTTCCAAGGAAAATGCTAATGTCTTGACCCTTGCCTTTGTTCATTGATCATATTCTAAATATGCTATTCCATAAAATCACTTTTGTATATTTCAGACAGATACAGATAGTAGTGAATGGTCTCTGTTATATATTATTTAGGGGCCAGATAAATAATCTCAGCATGTTTATGAATGGAATCCACTCAGTCACAAGCTACCAACAAACTTACTGGGTGCCTGGGGTACCTTGTTTGCAAAGATAACCTCAACAATTCCTTCTGTGCGCTTACCTTTACAATGTGAATTTGCCACCTCTCCCTTTCAAGGGGTAGGGTCTGTTTCCTCACCCTTCAAATCTTGAATCTATACTGATTTGTGACTTGCTTTGATCAACAAAATGCAGGTGATCAGTGTGATTTCTGAGGTCAAGCCTTAAGAGCTCCGCAGTTTCTACATTCACCCTCTTGGAAGGCTCCTATCACCATTTAAGGAGGCAGGAGTAGACCATCAAAGGATAAGTGACCACATGAAGAAGGAAGCCCAATCAACAGCCGGCTCCAACCACGTGACCTAACGTCCAAGGCACTGCTCTTTTCACTTCAGGAATAGACTGAGTATGTCACGAAATTGTGTCCTTTTAATAAAAATTATGTTCTAATTATAATAATAAGCCCACAATCACTCTGAATTCTACTGATAGAGCTTCAAACTTTAATGAACACAAGTTATGGTTAGTAAGCATTCTGAAAACTCATCAAGCAAAAAATGAAAACTTACCCAACTCAATACATCCACCAATTCCCAGAAGAGCTCCTGAACTATGATACAGAGGAAGAGTTATATAAATGATGTCATTAGCAGTACAACCGAAAGCCCACAAGCCAGCAGAACCCTTTAAAGCCTGCAGCTGACTGATTACAGCTGCTTTTGGTAGACCTGGAAGAAAAGAAAAGAGATATATGTAATAGAAAGCAAGTTTATGTATTACATGTGCTTTGTAGGGACCATGCAAATGTGAGCTACCGCTCTAATCAATTTCCAGAATCTTGGATCTACCCAGAAGGATCAAAACTAAGATTATATAGAGTTTGAGATACCATTAGCTTCCAAGAGCCATATCTACTATAAGAATGACAAAAATGCCCCAAATCTGGAAATGTACACCCAAAATGAGGTAAATCACAACATAAATCTAAATTTTCCTTAAAGTGGAAATTTTCTAGTGAAAAATTCCAAGTAAGATTCTATTCTACAAAATTCTAAGTAATTTTGTCATGTTTCATACATCCTGGTATAAGATCATTATAGAATATCACATTCCATACTACATGATGCTGAAATAGTTCTATACATTCATGATTCAAACGTAAATCATTTGCTTTTTTCTTTCTAGTCTTCTTCTGTGTCCCAAGGGTTTCTTATAAAAATTTGTAGTTAGAATTAATGTATAAAACATTTTGCACACTGTTTTTAATTTTCCATTTTGTTATAGTCTTTTGCAGTATAATGTCAGCATAATAAATTCATCTAGTTAATACATGATATAATATGAAATTGCCTTATCTGTGATTGAATATCAGCAATTTCATGTTTCAACCTACATCTCCTTGTACACACAACACACAACTTGTTTTCATAATGATAAGTATCCGCTCTTGAATTCATTTGTTAGATTAAATGGCATTTTAGTCCTATTCTGTTTGTCAGTTCAAAGAGTTCTAGTATTTCTGGAATGTCCTCATGCAGAGGGCCCCATTCCAAATCTACCTCACCAATAAAGTTACTTTGCTTCACAACACGCAATGGTGATGAGGAGTGTCATCCATTGTTGCAGAGAGGCAAGCAGAGACCAATGTGAGAGAAGCCACAGGAATAAGCAAATGGCAGGATGAAAAGTGAAGACCAGCCGCCATAAAGTGTGGCCTTTCTCCACCCCGCATACTGATACAGAACGTCAGTGGCTCTACAAACTTACCGCTGCACCTGATTGGACTTTTTTTCCCAATTCTAGAAATTGAGACCTAAATGTGTTTCCCAAATTGAAGTACTTCCTTGTCATTTTCAGCCTGCCTTAGAGTCCTACAGCAAAATATGCTCCCACAGTGATGTCAGCTGCAAGGCTGGTGAGTCATTCCTTTTTCCCTCTCCCCTCTGATATACAACTAATGGGACATGTATAACTACCTCCCCTCCAAAAGTGCGTCTGCACAACATACAAGGACACCCCAGAGATCCGCCCATCTGTGGACGTGAATGTGGGCGAACTGGACCCCAGAGGAGGTGGCAGAGTGAGGGAAGTGGTCCTGGAGCCATGACCTTTCTGGCAGAAGAGGTCAAGGGTGGCGGCAGTGAGTGGGGGAGTGGTGAATCTGCCTGGGCCCATAGGCTGCAGCTGGACCAAGCTGCTCTCTCTGAGAGACCACAGTGACTGAGGGGAGGGAAAGGGAAATGAAATAGGCAGACAAAGAGAGGTGAAGGAAAGTGACTCCTACTATCTACCCCAGGACTCAAAAGGACCGCCCATAGACCTCTAGGACGCCCCTCTCCCCTTGCACTTGACGATTCCTGTACCAGGGCAGAGGCATGCCCAAAGCCCCAAGTGCTAAGTACACACCAACCCCCCCACCTCAACCACCACTCTGCCTTTTTTTGTGTTCCCAGCTCCAGTAGAGAAACCAAGAATTGGTGCTATAGCGCCACCTTCTGGAAAACGAAAGGAAGGCTCCTTAACTACCAATGTGTTCAACCGATAGTATCAAAGTAAACAAAACCTTGCCTAGGGGCGCCTGCCCGGCTTAGTTGGTGGAGCATGTGACTCAGTCTACAGGTTGTGACCAAGAGCCCCAGGTTGGGTGTAGAGATTACGTAAAAATAAAATCTTTTTAAAAAAAACCCCAAAAACCATGACGCCTGGTTGGTTTAGTTGGCTAAGCATCTGTCTTGGGCTCTGGTCATGATCCCAGGGTCTGAGATCTAGTCCCGCATCGGGCTCCTTCCTTGGTGGGGAGCCTGCTTCTCCCTCTGCCTGCTCTTCCCCCTGCTTGTGTTCTCTCTTTCAATCTGACAAATAAATAAATAAAATCTTAAAAACAAAAACAAAAAACACTGCCTAAATAAGAAAGGTATTTGCTGCCTCAAATATGGTGGCAGAGGCACTTTTCATCAAACATCATGAAAAATCATGGTCATAGAGTATAACAGAAAATGACAATTCTCCATGAACCAAACCCAAAGATATGGGATAATGCAATCTAACTGATACAGAATTTAAAATAGTTATTATGGGGCGCCTGCGTGGCTCAGTTGGTTAAGCGACTGCCTTCGGCTCAGGTCATGATCCTGGAGTCCCGGGATCGAGTCCCGCATCGGACTCCCTGCTCAGCGGGGAGTCTGCTTCTCCCTCTGACCCTCTTCCCTCTCGTGCTATCTCTCATTCTCTCTCTCTCTCAAATAAATAAAATCTTAAAAAAAATAAAATAGTTATTATGAAGATATTCAATGAGCTATAAGAAAACTCAGCAAGACAATATGATGATCTCAGGGATACAATTCATGAACAGGAGTACTTTAACCAAAGAAGACTGAAATCGTGAAAAAGAACCAAACAAATTCTGGAACTGAAGAACTCAAGAAATGAGATGAAAAATGCTTTAGGAATGTAGTGGAAATAGACCTAGATCATATGGAAGAGAGAATGAGTAAGATGGAAGATAGAAATATAGAAATGATTCAGGTGTAAGAGGAGAAAAAAACTAAGATTTTTAAAAAGTGAAGAAAACCTATGAGAACCATCTGATTCCATTAGAAAAGCCAACACAAGAATAATGGGTAGTCCAGAAGGAGATGAGAGGGAGAAGGGGGCAGAGGGAATATTTAAAGAAATAATAGCTCAGAACTTCCCGTATCTTGGGAAGGAACTGGGTATACAAGTCCATGAAGCTAACAGAACACCTTACTATTTCAATGCACAAAGATCTTTTCCAAGACACATTATATTAAAACTGTCCCAAAGTCAATGATAATGAAAGAATTTTAAAGTCAGCCGAGGAGAAAAAGACAGTAGCCGGCAATGGTACTCCCATTATGCTATCAGCAAATTTCTAGCAGAAACTCTACAGGCCAGGAGAGAATGGAATGACATATTCAAAATATTGGAAGATAAAAACTGCCAGCCATGAATAAGCCACCTGGCAAAGTTATCCTTCAGATATGAAGCAGAAATAAAGGCTTTCCCAAACAAACCAAAGTTGAGGGAGTTCACCACCATGAGATCTGACTTATTATAAAATGTTGAAAATTCAGAGCTCTTTGAGCTGAAAGAGGCAAAAGTACACAGAACTCTGATTAAGTTGATAAAGTCAGTCAGAATTAGAATACTGTAACTCTTTTTAGAATAGTATAATAAACTCTTAACTATAACATAAAGGATAAAGGAAAATCGCACTAAAAATAACTATATCTACTACAACTTGGTAATGAAATCATAGCATATAAAGAGATAATTTGTGACATCAAAAATATAAAAGAGTTTGAGTAAAAAGATGGAAACTTTATAGGTGAATGAAGATAAATTGCTTTCAGCAGAAAAAAGAATTATTTTATCTATGAAATGTTTTATGTAAGTGCTTGGTAACCACAAAGCAAAAATCTAGAGCAGAGACATTATACATAAAAAAGGGCAAGACTGAGCAAATCATCATGGAAAACCACCAACTTACAAAGGCAGACATAAACATAAACGGAAGGAAAAAGAAATAGAGACCCAAAATTACCAGAGGGCAAAAGATAAATGACACTAGTAAATCCTTGCATATCAATAATCACCCTAAATTTAAAGGGTTGGTACTCACCAGTCAAAAAGCACAGAGTGGCTGCATGGATTAAAAAAAAAAAAGACCCAACTATATGCTGCTTACAGGAGAATCATTTCAGCTCTGAAGATACACATAGGTTCATAATGAAAGGATACAGGTTGATATTCCAAGCAAATGGAAATGAGAAGAAGGCAGGCGTAGCTATATTAACCTCACAAAACAGACTTCAAGCCAAATGGGTAATGAGAGAAAGGTCATTATAAAATGGTAAGGGGTCAGTATATCAAGAAAATACAATGATCGTAAATATATAATGCTCTTAACACCTGAGCACCAAAATGTATTAAGCAATTAATAACAGATCTTAAGGAAGAAATACATGACAGTACAAGAATTGTAGGGTACCTCACACTTGATCTTAGCTAAAAAGCTGACAAGTGATTGTAGGAAACCTCAGTACCCCACCATCAACGATGGGTAGAGCATTCAGAAAATCAACAAGGAAACACTGGAATCGAACAACATTTTAGAAAAAATGGACCTAATAGAAATGTACAGGACATTTCATCCAACAGCAGCAGAATACACATTCTTCTCAAATGCACATGGAAAAATCAGGGTAGATCATGCCATAAGTCACAAAACAGATCTTAGCAAATTTAGGAAGACTGAAATCATACCAACTATCTTCTCTGAACACAACGGTATGAAACTGGAAATCAGCAACAAGAGGAAAGTGAGATCTACAAATTGTGGAAGCTAAATAACACACTTCTAAACAACCATTTGGTCAAAGAAGAAATCAAAAGGGAAATAAAAAATTATCTCAAAACGAAAGAAACTGAGAACACAACATACCAAATATTGTGGAATAGAGCAATAGCAGCTCTGAGAGGAAAGTTTATAGCTACATATGCCTACATTAAGAAATTAGAAAGATCTCAAACAAAAAACCTAACTTTAACCTCAAGGAAATAGAAAAAGAAGAAAAAAATAAGCTCAAAGTTAGCAGAAGGAAGGAAATAATAAGGATCAGAGCAGAAATAAATGAAATACAGACCAGAAAAACAATAAAAAGGATCAACAAAACTAAAAGTTGTTTCTCTAAAAAGATAAACAAAACTGGCAGACCTTCAGCTAAACTAACTAAAGAGAGAAAACTCAAATAAATAAAATCAG